TTCATGAGCATCCTAATTAAATATTATTCAAAGATAAATTGTTGATATAACAAAAATTAAATTATACCTATTCGAGTATCTAATAGATTTAAATCTTTAATTATATAAAAGAAATATTTTTTTTTAAATAAAAACTGTTGTGTAATACCATTGATTATGTATAATAATAAATATAATTATATATTATATATAAACATTGGTAATAGCTAGATAAACTTATATATATAAATAAATTTTTTTTTTAATATACAGTTTTATAAATAACTTAAAAGTTCATATTCACTGCATTTTTATATCAATAAATACAAAAGTATATAATTTTTAAATATTATTTAAATTCTATTCAAAAGTATATATGATTTAAATTTATGTAAATACTTATAAAATATTATAATATAATAGAAAAATAAAAAAATAAATTAACTAATCGTTTAGAAGCTATTAAATCAAACGGTGTACGGAAACCACTTAAATCTTAATAGTAATGACTAGTAATGACTTTACATTAATATGATAAATTATAACTGTGTCTTCTGGTATACTTCAAAGTGGTCACTTATTTCTCTATTATTCTTCTTCATTAATAGCATTAACCTGGCACTATGTGACACCCAGCTTACCGGTGTTTGCTGATAACATAAAAATATTTCACGTATTCAATCAATTAATGATAACAATCTTCTTGAGAGTGACTTATATAGACTTGTGTCTTGAAAGCTGATACTTTAGATTTATCATTCAATGTCAGTAAATGTCATTCTATTACATTTACTCGCTCAACAAACCTATTTAATTTTTTATATTTCATCAACAATATATCGATTTCTTATCTTATCGGCTTAGTCCATCATTTAAGACTTAACCTTACTCTAATTCTTACTCTTAATTCTAATCTATAAATTGAAAATGTATGCTTCAAAACATTTAAAACCCTTAGTTATATAAGTGTATTGTGAATTATTTAATTTTTTTTACATTCCTAAAGGTTCTTATACTGTGCATTAGTTAGATCCCTACTTGAATACGGATCAGTACTTCACTAGCTCCTCACAAAGCATTGTCCTTCTTGTGATAACTCTCTTATATTAGTCTATTTTAACTTAGTTTCTTTAGCTGACTGTAGGCATGTAACTAACTTAAATTTTTTTTTGATATAAATGATAAAATTGACTATCCCAACTTACTTTCAATCACTGTCCTACACTTTGTTCAGCCTCTTTCCATATCCCAAAGTCTTATTTTAATTATGCTAACAACCAACCACTTTGTTGCTGTATGTAAGTAGCAGCAAACTTGAATCCTACTTTCTATTTTTTATAGAACAAGTACTATACTTTTTAATAATCGTTTGTAAGTTGTTATTAGTTGTTTAATTTTTTTGATTTAAATTACTATTTAAATATGTATTTACTCTTTAACTACAATGTTATTACTTTATATATTCTGTTTAAAAAACTGTATGACATTAATTAAATAAAATAACTAATAACAAATAAAATTAAAATATAAATTTCAAGTGTCAACGCCTTTGAGAGGATCAGGTGTTATTATGATATAGCTAACTCCATGTACTTATCAATATTATCTACCAAACGTAAATATTTTAAAAATGAATGTTTGCAGATATTAATATTTAAGATTAAGAATTTCGACGAAAAAACTATTGTCTATTGCTTAAACAATAGATAAGAAGAAGATATCTTTGTATCCATATATAATTTAAGAGTCATTTCTCTTTGACTTTTTGTATAATTGCGTGTACAATTGTCTTTTGTACTGCGTTTTATCCATTTTCTTTAAATCATAATTTCAACTTAGCATTACGATATTAAAATTTTTAATTTTATTTTAACTATATTTAATATATGTATATATTTTTTATTGAAAATATTATAAAACTATTTTAACTTACACTTTTTGAATATGCATGTTTTAGTATAAATATTAAATACATATTAAGTCATCAATGTCATAAAGTAACTATAAAGTAATTTCATAATGTTATTTTTTATCTGATTCATGATTTTTATTGTTTTATTAGTATTGTTGCCTAGGTTAATAAGTAGTAGGTATTTAGAAGGTTTAGTTCAAAAGCTATACAAAATATATTAATTTGATATAACATATTACTCATATTCATTTTTAATTCTTCTAATTTTCAAGAATATTAAAAAGTTTTATATTTAATAAATTCTAAAACTATAAATATAATTAGTCGTTATAAAGTTATTACTTTCAAACTTTTTAATTTACTGATTATGTAATAATAATTTGAATTAAGTCCTTGAATATTATATTAAATAAAAAATATTGGATCTTTTCGATTAATACATTATTTTAAGTTTAAGAAAAAAAAATTGTTATTTAACGTTAAAATATAAGATACATTTTGTCTATTACCAGTTAATTTTAAAAATGGTTCACATTATCATAAGTATTAGAGTTATGTTTAAAATATAATTTATATTCACTATAGAAAATCAAATCATATTCAATGCGTGGAGATTTTTCTAAAATGTCAATTAAGACAAATTGAGAATAAGATAATATATTTTTTCTTCAATATTGGTAAAAGGGTATAGAAGCGATTACTACACAGTAACACAATTAAGTGTACTTGTATTGTTTTTGACCGAAAATCGATTTTGTACGCAGATAGAAAAAACTCCTGGAGAATATAAAGGATCAATTGTTAATGATGTACACGCATGGAAATAAACAAATGATAAATGCTACATTTCATAATTGAGTTTTATCTTTGACATTTCTACTAGTGAATAGATTTTTTATTATATGTATAGTGTTCTAATTTGATTTAACAATGTGACATGTATTTATGCAAGGAATGTTTAAATATTATCATAGCCTGAACAGATAAATTACTCTGTTACGGAATTTAAATTAAATAAATCCTTCAACGACAGACTGTGGGTTAATAATTATAATTGAGATAATAATGATAATATTAGTGTTATGAAGGCGATGAAATTCAAACTGTTTGTTTAGCGACTTAAAAGGATTAAGTATATACGCTAAAGAAACATATATATTATAATTGAAATAGTTTTGTTAATGCGTATACGGATTAATTTGCACGGATTTTCCTCCGAAATGGGAATTACCAGTTTCCACCAATAATTAAAATTATTAGTTCCATGGAACGGTAACTGTTTCTACCAAAATTATATGTTTTTTTTTATACTAACGATACCTGTTTACAACAAAAGTGTGCCTTTTGCCCTTCTATCAATAATCGTCTTAACCATATGAGATATTGACCACATTATAACTCTCAAACAATTTTTAAAAACTACAGAATAGAAGTGAATACTTAGTTAATACTATCGTACTTTTACGACATGATTATTATCAATTACAAGTTATTCTATTTATATACTAGAAGGCTTTCCCCCTTCTTTAAATTTAACATTTACACATTAAAACATTAAAAAATTAAAAAATAAGTGTAAGATAAAACATTGATACAAAACTTTTTTTAAATAATAGATTAGGCTTAACCTTTGACCGTCGCCTCACCTGGAGACTTCATATCAGAACAAAAAAACTTTCCCTAAACGAACGACTTCGCTCAATTAAAACACTAATATCTAATAAACATACTAAACTAAACACCAAACTGCTCATACATAAATCATTAATCAAGCCCATGTGGACTTATGGCCTACAGTTATGGGGTAATGCAAAAAAAAACTAATGTAAATAAAATCCAAACCGTTCAAAATAAAATCTTAAGATTAATTACTAACGCCCCTCCATATGTCTCCAACTACACTCTGCACACAGATTTAAATATTAAAACAGTTCACGACGAAGCAATAACATTTTACAAAAGATTCCATGACAGACTTCCATATTATCCTAATCCTCTTTATCCAATCTAGCTTCTCACAAAATTCCAAGCAATCCCACATGACGACTAAAAAAAAAAATAGTGTCAAGATTTACTAAATGAATAAAAATAAAAAAATATAAAAAATAAAAAATTATTAATAAACAAATAGGGAGTGCCTTCACTGGATGGCTTCTTTTCTCACGATTTCATGTCAAATAAAATATTATATCACATATTCTTATTGTGCCCAAGGGTACAGATTGTATATTTCTTGTTTAAAAATAAAAAAAAAATAATAAAAACAATAATAATAGAGAGTTTTGAATATTTAAGTATTTAAATAATATTTAAAAATAATAATTATTTATTTATTTTATGATTGCCTTGACGATTATTATATGGAAGATGTAAATAAACAAAACTTTTTTTAAATAACAATGAGAGAAGTATAAAATATAATTATATTAAGCGTATTAAACACAATATTGTGTTCATAACACAAAAAATAAATATAAAATACTAATTTGTAGTAGATACTACTCTTATTATATTAAATAAACCATCTGTAGGTTATCTGATAGTAAAAGTATAAAATATAATAATTATGGGTAATTAAGGTATTCAGAAAGTTAATAAATTATAAGCTTTATGCAATTTTGAAATTAAAAATTCCTAACTTAATAAATAAATAATTTTCTAACTAGGTAGTTGATGATACATGTTATGAGGTGATATACGTTTGATGTTAGTCAAAAGAAGAATGATTTAGACTCTAGTATAAATTTATATATATATATATATATATACGCAATATTTCTTTACAGAAAACAGTAGTCATTAAGTTAAAAATAACTAAAAGCAGCAAATATTATAAATATTTTAAAGCTATTTATTTGTCTGTCTATATAACCGTATTTAATTAATATAAATTAATACATACGGGTACAGGGCTTCAGGGCTTATCACATCAGTTTAATTTAAAATATTTCTAGTATGATACTTAGTTTTTACATTAAAGACATAATTAGTTTTATTCAATAATAACTATAAATATTCAAATTTTAAGAATCAATAGTTGTGTATAGAGAAAATGCAATTCAAATCTTGTGCTAAAAATAATTTTAATTGATCAATATCATCATCATACCTTTTCAAGGGGTTCCAATTTGACTTTTAGTTCTTCCATTTTAGCCAATAACTCTCTTTCTTTCTTTAGTTGATGTTCTTCGACGTTTAATGACTCGTACAATTGACTGACTAGAGTTCTAACACCAGAAAGTCGTTCCATGTCTTCCTATTAAAATACAAATCACGCATAAAAACAAAACTGTGATAATATTATCATCATCTGTTAATATTTTTATTTATTTCAAATTTGCGAAAAATGTGTCTCACACTATACCATATACAATTATTACTATTCACTAATCATAATTAGGATAATAAGTTAATAAAAATATACTTTATTTTTTTAATTATTTTGGTAGGTACTATAAAAATAATTAATGTCACAAATGTTTTCATTCAACATACACGTTCATCATCTAATTATAGATAAAAGTGTAGCAGACTGTAATAACCTAAAGTATATACATATACCTAATATTATTGTAAATATAAATGTGTTATGCATTAAAAATCATATAGCAAACATACAAATGGAAGTTTGTAACAAAAGCAATATGATATTTTTTATTATATTTCCAAATATCAAGCACTCAAGCTTTTCAAACTAATCAACCCTTAAACCCAGGTGGATCTGATAAAGTTAAACTACCTGGCGTTTTAACAAAATGTGTATGATATAATATATAGATAGGTAACTATCTACAATATATAATGATATTATTTGGAACAACATAATGCACCTGCATATTTATTTTTCGTCATTTCGTGTTTGACGGTCGTAACTTGTGTTAGCTTACCACAAAGAAATGTCAAAGTTTAATCATTTAGTTCCTAGCTGGGTAATATTTTCCAAACTAAATTAAGATGATCATCATTTTTTTTTTTTTTTAAAATAATCTTTTGAGACATTTTAATTTTTGTTTTAATATTTGATAAATTACTTACAATATAAATTTATTATATTGTTCTACTTAAAAAAGTATACAGAATGTTTTTTAACGTATACATTAATTTTTTGTTTAAAATATTTATAATATCACTAAACATTTTTACGAAAACTCCAAGTGTTTTTCGTTAGAGGGTAGAACTAGGTTATCATTACTTACCGCTCATGTATACATGCCTAGAACAAAGTTGTATATTGTAAGAACCGACACATCAAATTTCATAGTTTTTTTTTTCAAATACAAAATTTAGTCAAGTTAATAAACATAACTTGTGTCTTAAAGTTAAAAAAAAATATTGTTCATAAATTACATATTATTGTGCATTAATGAAACATTTAAAATTTAAATCAGTGGCTGAAAGCTTTAAAACGAAACGTTTCATTGTAATTAGAAACAAAATAATTTGATAATAAAATTATTGAATAATAATATTATTATGTCAAATGTAGTTGGTAAACTTATAATAAAGATCACTATTCACTATAATTAAAATGCTGACATAATAATAATTACATGGTCAAATATTGTAACCCTTATCTAGGTCATAAATAAAGATAATTTTGAAGATTTTGATCATAGTTTCGGGGTTTCGGGTATAATTAATAAATTATTAGAATACCTACTAACTACATTAAAAATGATAAATTTTAGTAAATTACATGTCATAAGTTTTATCGATTAAGTTATATTTTTGTTTCTGTGCGACAGATGACCGATTTTAACCATCAAAATTTGTTATTCTTACAATAAACAATATTTTAAAATTAATTAACTCGTCCTAGAGCTTAATATAAGCAATTATATGCATACATTAAATATATAATGAATACTTAATAATTAACATGAATGATATATACATTTATTAAATAGGATAAATAAACTACACAATATTGGTAATCATATGATTTTAGATTATACCAACTTTTGTAAGCTTCTTCTGCGGTGGCACTTTAACCATGAACAATCGGTCGTTAATAGTTAACCGGAAGTCTTCTTCCATGAGCGATTCGATTGTATTGGAAGACGCGATACGTACACCTTCGGAGCTGGATACAACTACGCGGTCGATACCCGGGTCCTCGGTCTTCAACATGCTAGTCAAGTCACCGACCGTGTTTGTTACTGGCCGCAAGGTGAACTGACAAAGTTCGCGCCTGGACGGCAGAGGAACTGTGACCGTAGGCAATCCTCGTCTGAGCTCAACGTGGATTTCTGTAAAAACATGATGCAAATTTTAATATGCATATAAATTATAAATAGGATGTATGTTTTATAGAAACATTAAATTTAAATTAGGGTTTAAAGCAAAAATATTTTTAAAAAAACCCAAACATTGAACACGCTATTTGGTAATTTTACTGCTTCATATGCTAATATATTATAAATAGTAGACCGATCTTAAACATTTAAGCCCTCGTAATTATAAAGAATAACTATATACTAGCTGTGGAATTGGAACAAAAAGCTTAGTATTACGAGTAGAATGCAAAGACTATAAAATTACCAAAACAGTAATAATTCATTTTTATACCTGTACGGTACCTATAAAAGGCTAAACTGTATATAGATACTCGTATACAATATAATAATAGATATAATTGAAATACAACAGGGAAAGAATTTGTGGTCCTTATAAAAATCGATTATTGCAGTAGCGGTATCCCACGTAAAGTACGTAAATTGTAATAAAATATTTTAAATATTATTATTCTAAAAAAAATATACATATCATATAATACTATTATTTCTCACTTTAATAGTTGATAAACGAAATTTGACGAGTAAATTATTACGGAACAGTGATTATTTTCACTTTACTGCAAATTCCATTATCACTTCCACATCTATGTTACTGTGTATTATATCTAATTAAATACATAATATAAGATAATCATACGTATATACCCATACTTATAGTTTGAGGAAAACTGCATTAAAAGTAGATACAGTAAGTAATATGAAAAGAAAGTAACACCCAACATGCGTGCGAGAAGTGTATCGTTCCAGTAGGTCTATCAAGTGGGCAAGTGAAAAAAATGATATACATCATGCGTTCTTCTTAATTAAGATAAAGAATTGAGTTTAAGATGATTATAGGAATATGGTTAGTACAGTTTGCGAGCTCATTCGTTCGGCGAACACACAGTAGTTCGGTTCTTGGATACGTTTGACGAAGTCGTTGTTGCAGTGCATTCACATAGGTAAGTCTTTGGTATTTTTATAATTAATACTTCAATGCAATAACTACTACATGCATGGTTGTTTGTACAACTATGTTATTTTGCGAATTTTTATTCCAAAAGTCTTTGCACGTTGTTCGATAAATACTCTATAAGTACCTACAGTTTATAGTATACTATACAGCATGGAATTGAAGTATATAGATTCTAGAAACTATTAATTATTACGCGGAAAAATCCCTCTAGACACTATAATTCGCTCTATGTCGAGTAACATACATAAAGGACCGACACGCAAATAATTTATATTTTATATACATCCAAATTATATGTATATAAAAATATTTATAATAAGTACATAATCAGCATTAGCCTTGATGTGTATTAATGCAAAAAAAAATGATATATTAAGTTTGTAATAAAATCACTTTTTTCAACGGTAATAATTAGTGTGCTGGACGAACCATACAAGGTCGCGACTGACTTATCGATTATGTGCGCTCGAAATATATTGTTGGTATACTGAAATGCGAAGGGTTTAGCGATACAACGCGATCGGAATCCTAAATATACGAGTTTATTTTCTCTCTAAGAAATAAGTAGTACTTACGCGAAAAAATATGCCGACAAGATTATATCATACGGTATAGATGAATAATACATATAGTTGTAGAAGACAAATAAGTGTTAATAAAAACAGTCTTACTCTGTATGCAAGTCAATCGATGTACAGAATACAGATGTAGAAAATAACGGATTCTATTAATTTAAATGGCTTCTGAATAAATTCTATCAAATGAATATTATACATTGGTAAAATAACAGGCACATAAAATTAGCAACCGTACACATTAAAAAAAGAAAGGCGTGCAATTATTCGCACAAAAAAATTATATACATCATACCTACATCTATAATTATATAAATAATAGTCATAATAACCTAAGAATGAATAGAGCTGAAACTATATTTTTCTAAATTGGTATTTATTTGTTTTTATAGAATTTTCGAATACAAATGCAAAAAGTTACAATTCATTATTAGTTTTTGGAAACAAAGTATTTTTTTTAAAAAGTAGCTTTAAAATCAGATTTGAGTAACGATTATTTATGGTTTAAAAACAAATATTGCTTATGCATTCATAACACGCAATAAAAATATGGATTAAAATAAGAAATAAAGTAAATATTTTTAAGTAAAACACACCATTTGTATGATGAATAGTTATGTCTCATATATATATATATATATATATATTATATTAACTATAAGCTTAAGCTTTATTTAGGGAAGAATGAAAACTCTTTTTGATAGAAATTCTCTTGATGTTTTATATTATTGTCAACGAAATAAAGATCAAAATAAATACTATACCAAAATTTTCCTAGTACAATCTCAGAAGCATTATTATTATTCAGTCCCTTCACTCAGAGATTTTAAGACTTAAGACAACACAATCACGAATAAATATAATTGTGTACGTGTATAAACTATTTCTGACCCTATCGTTTAGTTAGTTAATAATTGGATAAGTGCACCACATATTACACTATATGACGGTATGGATATTCTAAGAGTTTTAGTAAGTCTATGATTACATTAAGAGTGTGAAAATAACGTTTACCAACATACAAGTATAAATATATAATAAAAGTTATAACATAAATATTAAATGAACCGAAATTTTACTACATATTTTATATACGTATATGTATATGTCCAATGAATATATATTTAAAAAAAACATAAATTCTAAAACCGTGAATATTGAATGATGTAATGGTCCACTGGGAAAACGGTAACGTAGTAAATAGGTTTTTTTATATTATTGGTTTTTAGTTTAAGTTTTTCTTAAGAGGTTTTATACTTTAATATAATACCAACACCCGATTCCAGGAAATAACATAAAATTTATTTAAGATGAAATAGTAGCAATTAAAAGGAAACGTGCTTAAGCTGTAACCATAATTTTTATACTTAGTAAAATAAACAATGAAAATTATAATACAACGTGAAACTACTAAGACTGCATTGTTCTACAATACGAGACATGAATTGCAAATACATTTTCACAATGTCACAGTTAAATGACTAAATTTCCGTTCAAACTTTATTAATGATTTTTGAAAACTTTGCGAATAAAAAAAATGCTCTACAACCTACGTACACATAACGATTATATTTACTTTTAAATAAAAAATCATAATATTTATTTATGACAAAAAATATTTTACTTAAAACAACAAATATTTTGAATAGTCGATTAATACTCTCGATTTGATCAATAATTTATAGGTACAAATATTATCGTATTATTATGATTTATGGCGTTTAAAAACACTTATTTATATAGCAAAACGATTTTTCATCAGATAAAAAAAATAATATATAAAATTACAGGGCAGAGATTTTATATTCCTATATCAGTGTTTCATGACGAATTTCCTGAAACTTGTAGTTTATATTTAATTTTTCTCATCGATTTTCGAGTACTTTAAACTATTGTTTAAGTATCTCATTGGTAAACTGCTACTAAATGAAACTTTCAGAGCTTTTTTACTATCTCAAAATATGTTTTCTTAGTTAACTAAAAATACACAATTGTAAAATAATCTCACTAATCTTGCATTAGGTTCAAAAATCTTTAAAAAAAAAAATACTTAAATCGTTATTTTTGCAATGTTGCTTATTTTTTTATAAAATACAGATAAGATGTAAAAATTTGATTATGTGATTTTATATGTAATTAATTGATTTCGTCCTATATTTATATACATATGCTATGCAGAAAAACTGTAATTTTAAGTAAATAAAACTTCAATGAACTTTTAAAAAGTTTAGTTAAGTGCTAAATTTTATTTTTAATTAACATTGATTTAGTCGTTTAATACATTAATATTAATACTGGAGAATTACGGTTATCATGATAATACACTATGTTGTAGGTTTAAAATATGTTTATTTAAAAATGAATTAAAAGTTTTTTGTAATCAATACAATGAGGGAGAAAAACGTATTTAATAATTTCAATTTTCATAAACTTTATTGACCTTAATTAAAATGAATGTAAACCATATAAAAATAAAAAAACAACCAATGTTAAGTTCTTTCATTAATGTGATATTGCAGTTTTAACCCTTATCTTTCAAAATATTCGCGTTCTGTAATCGTTATAGGTACTTATATAACAAATTTAATACACTTTTGGCACAAATAAATTGGTTAACTAAGTGTATTTCGGGTCGTTAGGTATTCAGAGGAATTGGTCGTAAAATACGAGATAAATATGCGTATAGGTATATGTATGGAAAAGGTGTTAGACATTAATAATTCACGGACTGGATAAATATCGTGGTTGGCGTAAGGTCACGAACGGATATGTAGTCAACCACCAGTCATTAAATAATATAATAATTATACATTTATGGAATTGTTTGTTTTTCCAGAAATGGGCGGCACGTACTCGACCGGTGGAGTGTTTGTAGTGAAGGAGAAGGAAAAAGGATCGAAAAAGCAGCAATACCGACGCAAGGATAATACTAAAAAACAAGGCCACGACAATCGGTTCGAGTGAGTATCAATCTATAAAATGTTTATTCTGTAATATACATTTTGCATAATATAATTCATATAATGAGTAATATAAGATTTACAATCAGTAAATATACTTAAAAGTATCATTAGACTTTATGTGGAGTTTTATGACCGTTTACTACCCGCATATCGAGGGTGTGTTATCGTAAAAACACAGACAATGACCCTTGCAGGTTGTAAAATGGTAGTTCACGCACCATACAAACGTAATTGGGTAGCCGAAGAAATTGGCTTTCGACCAAGATCGTCAAACTTAGGCTATAACAGTGGGCTTACTTGCGGATGGAATAGTCACATAAGTTATAGTCTGGTAAAAAAATATATTTACCCTACAATAACTATAAGGACCAATAAATGTGTTTATTTGTATCAGTGTTGTAACGAAAAATCACATAAAACGCACACGAATGACTTTATTCTCCATATACATTTATCCTT